TTCCCGCGTTGGAGAGAGAGAGAGAGAGAGAGAGAGAGAGAGAGAGAGAGAGAGAGAGAGAGAGAGAGAGAGAGAGAGAGAGAGAGAGTGCAATCCAGTACCACACAACCATTTGGAAGCGAGGCTTCGGATTGTGTCAAAAATAGCACGCAGTCATACGCTGCTTCCCGCCTGGGGGGGGAGGGAGTGAGAGAGAGAGGGAGAAGACAAATAAATAAGAAAAGAATTGAGAATTTTTTTTTCCAAAAATCTCTCTCTCTCTCTCTCACACATACACACTCATATACACACATACACACACACACACATAGACATATGCTATGATCTTGGGTATCTCATAGTGCATTAAGAAAGACAATGCCATTCAATTGCAACTGAATTGAAATAAATTGGAAAGAGACATAGACAAAGGAGGAGGAAGAATGGAGAACGGAAGAAGAACGTGAAGATGAACACAAGCAAGAACCAATGTCACTCCTCCCTTATCTCGGCACCATCTTCAGCCTTTAATGTGTCTTGCAAAATCTTACTATATTAATAATAATAACAACAATAACAATGAATGAATGAACGAGAATCAATGTCTGAATACTGCCCTTACTTGTGGTCAATCAAGAAGACCACCATAACCATCTTACACCCTATTCTACCTGTAAGTCAAGCTGGTGGCTATGGCGGACCATCGGAGCCCAGCTCCTATGTTCAAAGGATGATGCAAGGCTACTATGCCTCTCCCGCTATGGCCACCATGCCACGTTTCACCCAGGAGTTTTCCTTTAAAGTATAACCCTAGCGAAGGGCCGTCCAGATGCAGCGTCAACCAAGAAGATGAAGATGCAGTCCACCATAGCCAAGGTAAGCTCCTTCCTTCACTCTCCTCCTTCTTCTCATTCCTCCGGCTTCGTCTGAATCCTTCTTTCTCCTCCTCCTTCATTCTTCCCCCTTCTTCCTCACTACTCCTCTATAGCCGTGTCTTCCTCCACCTCCACTTTGGTCTTCTCCACCATCACTGAGGTGGGAGCCATGGTCCTCCTTCTTCCTTCACTCAGCGCTCACCAGACCGGTGAGCGCACAAGCAGCCTCACGACTTGCTACTTAGAGAATGGGGTTGAGTCCATCACCGCCGTTCTT